GTAAGACATATGGCCTAAAAGCTGGAAGGAGAATCAGGAATTTGGGGACGGGAGCAGGGTGGGGCACAAGGGGTGGAAAAGAGGAGTTACACAAGAGGTTTATCCCTCATGACTTCATCATTCTTAGAGAACTATAAATACCATAAGGCAATCAGAAGGGGTCTTACCTGAGCACACAAAATGCCCATTACAACATTAATGGTCTTGCTCATCATGTTCCATGGATGTGGGACCTGATTTTTTAAGAATGTTAGCTTCTGCAGGATGCAAGAGGAGACAAGTGGTACCAAATCTTTAAGGTACCCCTTAAAATAGGAAATAGATTTATTTATTGTTCATTTCCTCCAGCACTTCTGCAGCTTGCAACAGCATCCTCTCTGACATAGCCCTATTTCCCCCAGACTTATTCCTACATCCATTTCAGCAACCAATGCAGATGCCATTGGACTGAACCCCACTTCAGGTGTAAGACCTGCATGCAGGAGGTTCTTTGTAACACCTGCATGTACGGCCTGGAGAACAAGAGGCTGGAGAACAGCCCCACGGAGTGGGACCTCACAGGTCCTGGTCGATGGCATGCTGAATATGAGTCAGCAGAGTGCCCTGGCATGCATCAGCTACAGCATCACCAGCTGGTCAAGGGAGCTGACTGCCCCACTCTGCTCTGCGCTGGTGCAGCCTCACCTTGAGTCCTGTGTGCAGTTTTGGACACCACAATATAAGAAAGATATAACACTCTTAGAGAGTGTCCTAAGGAGGGCTATGACGATGGTGAAGGGTCTGGAGGGAAAGCCGTAAGAGTGGCTGAGCTCACTTGGTTTGTTCAGCCTGGAGAAGCAGAGACTGAGGGGAGACCTCATAACAGTCTACAGCTTCCTTATGAGAGGAAGTGGAGGGGTGGGCACAGACAAGTTCCATGAGGGAAGAAATAAAGTAGTTTTAGAAGGACAAGGGACTAGATATGTGTGAGATAGCCCTAGGAAGGGGCCCTGGGAAGTTTGCTAGTCAGTGAGACTACAGGAGAGTAGGATTCAAAGTTGTTCTTTTTCTTGTTCCATACATCCTTCTCTCAACACATATTTACATCTTCTCCACCACTGCTCGCTACATCTGTCTTCCTGGACATACCATTATGTCACTGCATTACACTGCTGAAGTGTCATTGGAACACTCTCCACAATTCATAACATCATATGCTGTTATCATGGTCAGTACTTTTAAGCAACTTGCAAACAGTGCAAACTCCAGTTAGATGAAAGAGTGGAGAAAGAGT